GTCTACGCCAGTGGGGACTCTCTTGTTTGGCTGAGTGTTTGCAGATTTCTTTTCATCCGTGCGGGTTGCAAACCCTGGCGGACTACCCTCCTCCTTTTTCAGCCGGGCTTGGGACCGTCCTTGGCGGAGTCTTCGAATATTTAATTCTTAAAAGAATTTTAGAATAAACTAACAAAATATTTCTCATATACATTCTCCAATGATCATTTTCCTTTGATTTTTATTTTACAAATAATTTTCTCACGTACAAAGGACGTTATGAAATGCAGATGTAGGTCAGTGTTAGAGAGTAGCTTTCTTACTTGTTTATAATTTCTCTCTCTCTCTTTTGTTCTACTATTTATACTCATACAGAATAGGTTTTAAAAGAGAACACAAGTACATATTCAATTCAAGATATGATTATGATATCAAAACAAATGATTATTATTATTATTTTAATATTAATTTCTATTGTTAATGGTAGTCGATATAATTATAATTGTCATCAATATGAAAATAGAGTTTACCAATTAACAGTTACATTTCCTGATAAAGAACCACTGTATTGTGCATTAAGACTTCAGACACATGGAATGTTTGATGAATTATTTAGTATAGCAGGTGGAAATAATGCAGCTGAACTTGGTTCAAGTTTTGCATTAAGTAATCGTGTTGGTTATTATAAATGTTTAGCAGGAAATAAAATGCATTTAACTGGTCTTGGATATCTTTATAAAACTGAAGATGTCGAATTTTTAAAGGAAAATGGTGCTGTTGTTATTCATGATTATAGTTTTCGTTTTCATAACAATGGTAAAAAATTGACTGGTCAAGTTAAATTTGCTGTCTTTAAAAATGGAGAAAATCCATTTACAACAAATGATAAACCAGTTTTCGTAGGTGATATTGGACAAGTTAAAGGTGAATTATTAAAATATCGAGAATATTATAAGTTATAAAATCAAGAAAATTTATTTCAAATATTAGAAAAAAAAAGAATATAAACATTTTGTTCTTTTTTATAATTATTATTCAGTGCATGTTCAAATTAATAAATAAAATTTCTTTTTTTTTCTTGAAAATAAATCATTTGTAAACAAATTCAGTTTTATCGTATAGTTAATTTAAGTTTTTCGTTTTCATTGCAAGTAGAAAATAATTTCAAATGAAAGTTTAATATAGAAAGTATTCATGTAAATAAAAAACTGCCTCGCAAATCGTTTGATGATTTTGAGATAGAATTATATACGAAATTATTTACTCTGGCTAATAATTGTCATACGTAGACAATTGCGATGTTGATGTTCTAGTGTATCACTTCATCAATCATTTGAATGACTCATTCATGTACGGTATAATTTGATTTACATGTTTTCTTTTTCTTTCGCAAAACTGGAAAAAACCAACTGCATAACTAATAACATTTGTAGGTAAATCACTAAATAAATATTATATACGCATCTACAAATGACAGACAAATTACTTCCTCTTTCAACGAATGGTGAGTGTTGATTTAAAGAAGATGCGCACATATACCCTCACACCTACGATGAAAAGAAAAAAAGAAGTGAGTCACGTCATAGTTTATATTAGTTTATATAAATATGGACTGAAAATACATTGTATTCACCAAAAAGTTTCAAGTTACTAATCAAGTTTTCCAAAGTTATGTGTAATGGTAAATTTTATTGATAGTTTGCTCATAGAATATACACAAGATGGAAAGTTCGAAAAATGATGGCACATCAAAACGTCATCGAAGATTTTCATTTAAATCGGTGCAATCGTCGTCGCCTCTGCCATCGGATGGACATACCGTTGAATGTTATAAATGTGGTAATGTATGTGACGAGATGGATCTCTTTCAACGAAAATCTAAAGCATATCCAGACGAAGCTTTATGTCCACGGTGTACACAATACATTGATGTAAGGGCCATGCGAACAGTACAAGTACACACATCAGAACATCAACAACATCAATTTTTCACTATGACTCGGCGTAACGGAATAGTTCCTATACATTCCTCATATGGAATGAGTAAACCAGTAAAATATCGTTATATCAATATCAATGCTGTAAAAGCTATGTATAATCGTACCGATACGGAACGTTATATCATCAGCTTGGCTGGTTTATACAATATATGGGATAGTTCTAAAGGTCGTGAGTTTATTAACTGCCTAATCAAATCAATTCATGATCAGCAACTAGAATTTACCTGTGACCATTCATTTACAAGTGAAAGTGGTGAAACATATTATATGCTGATTTGTGTACGAACACTCTCAAATCGGACTGAAATTGGTTATTCGTATCAACAAATTTCCGATGAATCAGGTATCGGCGGAGTCGATATGGGAGAAAAAGTTTTCTTATCAGAACGGAAATCCGAGCAGTGGTTAAAAGACAAAGCGTTTGAAAATCTACGCATTCATACACATGTTGTACGTAGTTTTCATACCAATCGTTACCGTAGCAATGCACCAATTTATCATCCAGTAGCTCGCACGAGATCAGAATAGTAGTGTACGATTTACAAAAGGGTGTAGATCTGAATGTATATGTGTGTTTGAAGAAGTCAACCTAACCCACACCCTCATGGCTATTGATAATTATGAATAGCATAGAATGGCATCTAATAACAATCGATATTGTTATCTGAACCTTAATTTAATGTGTAATTCATTACAAGTTTAGTGATAAATTTTATAATATCATAAATAAATTATAGACATAATATAGTTAAACATGAGAAAATCAAATTCCTTTTCATTTAACATAAACATATGATCAACAAAAAAATTATTCATCAGTATTGCAATTATATCGAATATGTGTAGTAATATTTAGTTACAAAATGAATTTTATTTGTTGTTTATTTCAATCTTTCTCTTTTTGTGAACATATTATAATAAAACACATTAACACAATAAGATGAGAAAGAAATAAAATGTAAATCAATGATAGTTGTATGTATTTATATGATGGTTTAATGTTTTTCGAGATTCTTTCGCGAATAATAAAGATAAATAATAATGAAGAAAACTCACAGGCAAGATTACCATATATATGTATATATATTGATATCCAATATCCTTAACCGTTTTGTATTTTTTGTTTTTTT